AAAAAAGCTAACCTCTTCCGTAAAATAGCTATATTTCACTAACTCATAACAGCCAACTCACAAAATTCATATCGCAGCTAGAGTAGAGTGTGGCTGCATTTTTGTACAAAGAAACAGCTTTCATCTCTCTTAGGTCAGGAGCTATTGACATTTTACGGAAAAGAAAGAAATTGCTTATATCTCATGAACCATCCAGTAAAAGAGGTGCAAACTTGGTGACTGATCAGCATTTGGTAAAAGCTATGATCAAACAAAATTAGAAGTACTTGGCTATCATGGCTCTTGAGTTACAGGGGTGTCGCTACTATTGCGCGATTATTTTTTGACAAAATAATCCTGTCCTCAAAGGGTTAAAGCGTCTACGTCAAGAACAACCAACGAAAATACTAGAACCAGACATGTGTGATTAAACAGAAACAGTAGTTTTCAACTTAGATGCTGAAGAAGCAGTAGTTTTAGCAACAATAAAATCGCATTGTTTAGTTTTTTCTTTTGTTTCATGCGGAGGAAATTTTATTATAATCTTTTACCGTCGGGGGAAATTTGCTAATCTCAGCGGTAGATTCTGCACCTCTGTGTGTTTGTTTCTTTAGAAGATCTATTATAACTAAAAGTTAAGTTAACTAATGAACCGAATTCTAACCGTGAAAGTTATGAAATTAAACTAAATTACAATTTAAGTTGCAATTTATAGTTCGCGGCTTCAATGTGATGGGCTGCAGGAATGATAAACAGCAGTAAAGTCAGATCGGCAATCGACAGAACAGTATGACTATCATACTTTCCCCTTCACACTGAATTATTGCCGAATACATCAAAACGCCGCGCATCGGAATTGGATTCTGTTTGTTTTACACCGAACAATATCGATACTCACATAACTACGTAAATGCTTCAAAACATTAAATGTCATGGAAGAAAAACAATAAGATCAAATGGTGAATTGATCGACATCAGTCAACAACTTCCATTCTTATAAAATAGCACAACCAACGCCCTTTCGCTTATTCGTTGTTTGTGGCACATACTTTTTAAGTTCATTGTTAAATCGAACATAAACGCTGATGGGCAGCACTGTTCGATGCAGCACATTCATTTCTTTTGAGAGTGATTGATACATTGAATCATTTGCGTGACACATTTTATATATTTCATACAAATCAAGCCCATTTATGCCGTTCAATAATGGTAACATCGCGTCAAGCTTCTTATCCAAAAGAAAACTTTTGACATGGTCTTCTGTCCATAATTCTATCGAATCAGGATAAGAATAGACGTTCTCTGACTGCTGTTGTTGTTGGTCTTTTACAGGCCTAAAATGTTCAAAGTACATATATTTGTCTAATAAGAAATCGCTCTCATTCTTATAACTAACTTATCTTCACCCGTATTTTGTCGTCCTTCTTGAACTGCAACCTTCGATAACCGATTTCCGTTTTGTGTAACCTCCTTCTTCAGGCCTTCATAAGCTTCTTCAAAGACTACTTTTGAAAAATCAATACTTAGCTTGCCACTGACAATGATTCCCAGCCATCCATCGGCGCGATAACGATCTTTCATTACCAGTGGAATTAGATGCCGTCTGCATTCAAAAGCATAGTGTGCTTCAGATTGACAATAGGCACTTCGCTTATAAGTGTCGGACATACAAATTAATACCAGATATGAATTTTCAATTGCATCTGCCATTGCTTGCATTATTGAACCAGACAAATGATCTCGATCAAACCAAACACGATAGCCGTCTGCTATAAGCTTATCTCGTATTTGGCAGCATAAATCTTTATCGTTATGAGAATAACTTATCATTATATCATATTTGTAACTCGGTGAGGCAAGAACTTGGATTGCCGACTGATTATGTTCCTGCTTAGCCATAAACTGAGCTTCCTTATCTAATTTCCACACAATACCGTCAGCTACCTTGCGTAGATCTTGTTCAACTGATCTTAGCAATGATTTTACATGAACCATGAACTTCTGATCTTCTTTTAATATTATAGTAGCTTCCTCATTGAACGTCATTGCCCAAAGCAGACCGAGTGAATGTTTTTGTCTTTGCACAACGTCGAATTTCGGCTCTGTAGCACAACGAATTAGTAGAGGCAGAACATCTTGTTCAACCATTTCATGTTTTATTTCATCGTGTTGTACAAGAGCTAAAGTACATTTGATAGTACTTTAAAAATAAACTATCCTGTCCTTTATCCTTCTGAATGTACACTAAATTGCTAAACTTACTTTTCAAGCAAACCAATGTATTCCGTAATCGCAACTGTCGATATGGATCATCGATTAATTTCTCGAGAAAACTTTTAAACAATGCTGTAATCTCCCTTGGTTTTGTCAATGTTTTAATATCATCTTCATTCATCAAAACTGCTAATATTCGATAAGCATTGAATTGTACATGTTCCGCATGTTTAACATTAATATAACGAAGAAGAATTTGTTTTAAACTCTTCTGTTCAATTACATTTAGAAGAGTCGGTACAAACGTTAAACTGTATAAATAACCGATGCAATAGTACACTAAAAAGTTTGTTTCTTCTGTCTTTTCCAACAAATTATCAGCTGAAGTTAAAATACGGAGCATAAGATCAATCGTTTTTATATGTAGTTCATAATGTTCAACTTTAATTTCATTTGTATCAATATAGCACATCAGTGCAATGATGTGTCGCAAACATCGAATGATTGGTTCGTTCCACTCAGATATATCTGGTACAAGTCTCTCTAATGTTTCAACATAAAAATTGAACATTTTATCACATAGCTTTTGTGCCGCTTCTTCTCGCCGTTTACCCCAATAATAGTGTATATAGTGCGGACATGCGATTAGCAGAAACTCTTGATCAACACATAATATTTCAGAGTTAGATCGAAAATCTTTCACTACATTCATATAATAGGATGAACAAATGCAATTTAAGATTGGATCTAATAACCGCAGTAGCGAAGAATCATCTTGCATTTCTGTTCGGCTAGTTTGTATTTTTCTTAATGCGTGAATCATACAGCTCACAGCTGTTAAATTTCCATCCTGCAAAATATATTCAACATTTTGCATACATATTTCCATAGATTCCATCAATGGTTTATTTAACAAAAGTTGTTGCAATGTTTCAATAGCGGTCACTTCATCGGCCAACTTCGTAAATAATGCACCGATTTGTTTAAAAATAGATGATTCTAGATTACTAAGAGTTTCACCTTTGTTCCATTTTTGTAATAGATTGGTATATGTATCGTGAAACGTCGAAAATAGTTCGTGTCCAAAAACACCGAATTTCACGTTAGCTAATGCTGACAAGATTTCACTCTGATCATGAATACTGAGCTTTTCTTCGATCAGTTTGTCGAAGCATAATTTCAGTATAGTTTGATCTGCGCAAGCTACATTTCTTAGAGTTTCGCAACACTCTGTTACTATACAAGCCATCACAATATGTATTTTTGTTGTCGTCAAAAGAAGGCATGCGCAATAAGTAACTAATCAAGTGAATACTTTACACAGGTAAAGGTAGAAAAAAAGAACTTAACTTTATTACGCCACATAAACACACAATTATTGTATTTTATATGTCATCGCCTTCTTTATAGAAACCATAAATTTAAGAGTGACAACCATTATATCAGGTTCGTCATAATGAATGAGCCTCTCAGTATTTTCGAATTATGGCACTTTCGTCACACGACACTACCCTCTAAAAAAAAGTTTATTACGAAACTTAAAGGGTATAGAGAGGTGCAACCATTTCTAAACCCTTTTAGGTTTCGTAGAAGACAAGGTGCAGTACGAAACCGTTTTAAGTGCATTGAAACGATTGATCAGTGCATTTGCTTATTTCGTTATGTTTTTTCCGCATGATTTTTTCTCGAAAGATCAAAAATTAGAGAAGTTTCAGGTATTTTTTGGCTCAGTTTTCGCCGCGCTATACAGTGAAAACACGCCTAAGCTGCTGAAATGGTCCACTTGCTCAGAAAAAAAACTCCTTGAATTTATGCAATTAAACGGTTTCGTACTGCACCATGTCTTCTACGAAACCTAAAAGGGTTTAGAAATGGTTGCGCTTCTCTATACCCTTTAAGTTTCGAAATAAACCTTTTTTAAACCATGAGCAATCAGTGCCATTGAGTTCCGCTGGCAAGGCTCGAACATTGCTAAATTTCGCCGTGGTTGTTATCGATGACCTTACGGCCTGGCCAGCTAACTCTGGCTGCGTATGTAATTCCGTGACGTTTTTCTATGATTTTGTTTTATTTGCAGAAATTTGTGAAAAAGTCAGAACTCAAAAGCAAATAAATCATTTTGTAGACAATTTAATTCTCTATCGACTGACCTGATTTTGAAACGTTTTAGCGAAAATCTCTTGGTTAGGAAATTCAAAACACTGAGAGCTACTTTTTGCATATCTTTTTTATAAATTTAGTA